GTGAAAGTTTGATTTATGATTATTATTCTGTCCCATTACTTTTGGTTCCTTAATAAGTGGGAGGCACATATGCAAACTGTTGTAATTCCTACACCGTTCACCTGATTTGGATGTAAATACCCTCAAATTAAAACTGACAGTCTGCAGTTAAAGCACATCTTGTTCCTTTCATTTCAAATCCATTGTGGTGGTGTATAGAGCCAAAAATGTTAGAATTGTGTCGATGTCCCAATATTTATGGACCTGACTGTATGTATATATATATATATATATATATATATATATATATATACACATATACACACAAACACTATATATACAATTCAGTACAGTTATATTTTGAGACAGGACCATGACAGCCTTGTTTCAGAGGAGTTGGTTGAATTCCACTGGCCGTCATTCAGCCTTGAAGACTGAGGTTATCAAGTAAGTGGCAGGGAGGACTTATTGTAAAAGACTGCGCCACATTGAAGGCAAGTATTGCAGCAAAAGCCTTTACCTGCAGTTGTGCTTTAAACTAACAAATAAGCAAAGGCTTCCTGCCGAGTTGGTCCAATTTTCATGATGGCGTGTCTTGTGCAGCTGGTTTTCCCACTAGCTAACTTCCTATACATGTCAGTAAACTTATTTTTAGGCAGACTAATCACCTCGGAATATATTGTTCCTTTGTGGGCAAAGCGGCTGTATATTTGGCTGCTGTAGAGGAATGGGGTATCTGTATTAATTGCTGATTGGGGAAAAGAGGGGTTGTCTACTAAGCACAGTAAGAGAGGGAGCCCTCTGAAGTAGGGATAAAATCAGTCATGAGATAAAATATTGATTCACGAGGCTCAGTAGAAGGTTTCATGAGCTGAATCTCAAAAATAATAATCTCAAAACAATGTAAATTTTTTAAATAAATATTTTAAAATTTGCGAAAACTACCAAAAGATAAACTAAAAACAGATGGAAAATAACTCATGCACAATTAGTAGGTTACATCAAACATTAGCTAATGGTGAACGTTACATTAGTGCAAACATGTGCTCATATAATATATGGCACACTTTTATTTTAACTATTAACTTATGGTATTATTAAAACATGCAAAGAAAACTTTAACAAATCTTCTAGTTCAAATAATAAAACATCAATAACACCACTTTTGTGTACTGTAAGAGAACTAGATTATTGAAAACAATATAAAATCAATCAAATAAAAGCTTGGTGGGGGTCATTATTCCACATTTCTCAATTCAGTGAATCTAGATTTTGGATACAACAAAAACAAACATTATACCATGCCATGACCGCTAAGTGTTCCTTGGTTCTTAATGGACATTTTAAAAGCTAAAATCCATGCAAATAAAATGAGAGACTGATGTAAAGTAAATGGTATTTGTTGTAAAATTACAGCATATTACAAAACTTTACAACATCAATAAATCTCTGATCCAGAATATTTTAAGTATATTCCCATACCCTTAATAACTCATGATTTGAAGAGTCCTTTAATGAATTACAGCACACATTGTCTAAAAGCAGCACATTTGCCAATTGTCCTTATTTGGAACATATTTTGGAGCCTCATGGTAAATCTTGTCCCTTGAAATGCCCTGGGTGTTCACTAATGACTGACTGACCTTTTGACACCATGAAAAAACTTTTTCTGGGACACTTCAAAGTTTGTAAACCCTTAAGCTGGCCATAGGCCGTTCGAACCTCAGCCGGTTCAGCAGGCGGGATTTGAACCATGTACGGGAAGACTAAATGTATCCAAGTGATCGATCAGAGCAATACAAAGCAGCTTGTTTCCCTAATAAAACGCACACAATACACAGTTAACCCTTGGATCACACCAGATGTTAACCCCTTCCTGCCCAGTGTCATTAGTACAGTGTCAGTGATTGTTATTAGCACTGATCACCATATTAGTGTCACCGGGGATGTCAGTGGCAGTTAGTCAGTTCCCCCCCCAGTGTCAGAATGCCTGCTGCAGTCCAGCAAAAAGTCACTGATCGCCGCCATTACTGGTAAAAAAAATAAAATAAATTCCAGTGTGTATATATATATATATTTGTAGCCATTTGTAGACACTATAACTTTCATGTAAACCAATTAATTTAGATGTATTGGGATTTTTTTTTTAGCAAAGACATGTAGCAGAATACATTTTGGCCTAAATTTATGATGAAATTTGATTTTTAAAATTTTTTATTGGACATGTTTAATAGCAAAAAGTCAAACATATTGGGTTTTTTTTTTTCAAAATTGTTAGTCCTTTTTTGTTTATAGAGCAAAAAAATAAAAAATGCACAGGTGATCAAATATCACTGAAAGAAAGCTCTATTCGTGGGGAAAAAAAAGACAAATTTTATTTATGTACAACAATGAATGACCGTGCAATTGTCAGTTAAAGTAACGCAGCGTGTATCGCAAAAAATGGCCCAATCAGAAAGGGGGGTATATCCTCTGGAGGGCAAGTGGTTAAAGAAGAAGTACAGACACGGCTCTTTTGGCTGTACTTCTCATGTGGATCACAGGAGTGCAGTTCGTTCTGCACTCCTGTGACCCTGTAACTTTGCTCTTGACTCTTAGGCATGATATACAAAGATGAACATTTAGTACAGTACTTTTTCTTTCCTGCATTTGAAGTGCTAGTCATCAACTCTGCACTTTCCTCCTGTCTGCAGGTTCTCTATCAGCACATGTGCATGCAATGTTACCCAATGCCTTTCTAGCGCAGACTTTCCCTCTCCCAGTTCAATCCTACTATGCAGAGCTGTGCCGCAGCCGTGACTTCCGTGCGCACGCACAGGAGTGATGTCATCGCAGCTCAACCATTCAAACAGCTGGAGCCTGCGAACCCGGGAGGAACACTGGGTGGAGATGGCTTCCATCTCAGCTGTGACAGGGTGCCTCTGGAGGGATCTGTTTCACAGGTAAGTCTGTCATAATGTGCTAATTTTTTTTCATGTGGTTTACTACCACTTTAATTACATCTGCCTGGAATTTAGGTTTAGGCCACATTCGCATCTGTGTAGTGCAGGGCTTGAAAAAGCCGCCCGCCCGCTCACCAAATGCGAGGAGAAATTCTTGTGTGGCGAGCACAGATGATGGAGCGGCTGCACCTGCGCACCAAGCCTCATTGTAAAGCCAAGATCCGGTTCCCAACTGCCGGCTTTCGGCTTCTTCGGCACCGCCATTACACTGGCAGCGCCACTGAGGGGATAGGTGCAGGAGAGGTCCGCTCTCCTCCCCTGAGAGGAGACACCCTCTCCACCGCCGCGGGGGACTTGAGGAGAGGTCCGCTGTCCCCCGCTGCGGGGGACAGAAAAAGGGTATTACACAAGTCTTGGTCTTGCTGTACAACACAAACTATGGCTGCTCTATTAGCACATCTTTGGTAAAATGTTTACTATTGTTAGGTCATGTTTATTGGCATCTAAATAAGCACTTTTTTGTTTGTTCTTAATGCACTACTTCTCTAAGCTCTCTTTTAATAAGATGCTGGAGATAAAAAATGCAAAATATTTACTATTGTTATTTATTTTATACAATGTTGTTTGGCCATCAAAAGAGCCACTTTTTTCTTAACACCACACTTATCTAAGGTCTCTGCTGGAGATAAAAAATACAACATGTTTACAGTAACTATTATTCCATGTTTTTTTTGGCATCAAAATAAGCACTTTTTCTTATGCTATACTTCTGTAAACTAAACTTACATCTTTTAAAAGAGATTTTAGTTACTAAAGTCTCTTTTTAAAGATGCAGGAGATAAACAAAAAAAATACAAAATGTTCACTACAGGTTTAAAGCTGTAAAACTTGATATTTGGATTGCACCCTATTGCTATTAAGCTATTGCTGTTATGTTATAATAATAATAATAAAGCTGTGTTATAATTGTAGTTTTTTATATTTTGGACTGTTTATTCTAAAGAAAAATGTGATTTCATAAGCTTTAAGGGTGCGTGGTTGGGGGATGAGCCGGGAGTGGAATTGGAGGCAGACCCGGGCAAGATTGGGTGGGGCAACTGGTGGAGAGTAAGGTTTGTGCCTGGCTAGTAGGTCTAGACTATTGATAGCGTGACACAGGGCAACATGTTTTTGCAGGCAGGCAGAGGATCTCCACCTCAGTTAAGGGAGTCTTGTATTCATTCATAAAAATACAATGCTTCATGTGAATGGCTGAGCAGCGCTCAGCCTGACCTGACTTTGTTCCAGGTTTATACAGCACTCACAGTGATGAAGGAAATAGTTTGGACCGCTTGATTCAATAAACTTTTTAACATTAAACCTGACATCTTTAACCACTTCAAGTCCGGACACTTTCACCCCCTTCCTGTCCAGGCCAATTTTCAGCTTTTAGTGCTATCACACTTTGAATAATTGCGCAATCATGCAACACTGTATGAATTTTTTAGCATTTTTTTGCGACCTATAAACCTTTATTTTGGTGGTATTTATTCACCACTGGGATTTTTATTTTTTTGCTATATAAATGAAAAAGTCCAAACATTTTGAAAAAAAACATGTTTTTCTTATAAAATTTTGCAAATAAATAATCTTTCTTCATAAATCTTGGCCAAAATGTATTCAGCTATCTTTTTAGTAAAACAATAACCCAAATTAGTTTATAACCAAAAATTATAATTTTTCGAAAAATGTTTTATTTTTTTTATATTATTTGTTTTGTTTTTTTTATAACATACTGTCACCCTAGCAGTACAGTGTCACCCATAAAGGCTGTAAAAGCAATCATTTCTCTTTCTCTCTGGCTGCATTCTTGCAGCCACTGAGAAATACTGTGAGAGCTAAGATTGGTCACAGCTTGTCACATGGTATAAGGCTGTTGTGAACAGCATTGTACCATGTTACCTCTGTGATCATTCACACATTTCACATGTAGAAAGCAATGATGTCAGAAGTGACATCTTGCTTACACCTATTCATTTCTTCTTCGCTCTGGCTCCATTCTTGCAGCCATTGAGAAATACTGTGAGAGCTGTGATTGGTCACAGCTTGTCACATGGTACAAGGCTGTTGTGAATACTTGTACCATGTGACCTCTGTGATCATTCACAGATATCACAAGTAGTAAGAAATGATGTCAGGAAGTGACATCTTGCCTACTACTATTCATGTGACCACTGATTGGCCAATCACACAGAGGGCCTGTACAGCAATCGGCGTTCCGCTGTGTCCAGAGGACACAGTGGGCACTGGATAGCGGTGCCGCGCGCTCCAAGGGAGCGCGCACAGGCAGGGAATGTGGGAGCGCGTTTATAAATGGCCACCCGCTCCTGCACTGCTCCCGTCTGGCCGTTTATGTACATGTGACGGACGGGAAGTGGTTAAAGTGCATGTAAGCCCGTGGTTCTCAAACTGCAACATGAGAACAGGATGTGTGATACTTTGCTTGCCTTTAACCGTGAAGACACTCTTTCTTCCACTGACAATAATGGAGGACAATATTCTTACAATAGAAATTAATGAAGTGGCACTATTCCTATCAACATTAACGATGGGGCACTATTCTTCCCATTGACACCAATGAAGGGGCACTATTTTTTCCACTGACACCAATGAAGGGGCACCATTTTTTCCACTGACATCAATGAAGGGGCACTATTCTTCCTCCCCCTACCACAGGCAATAGGTCATTTTTTTTTTTTTACTCGCACTGTTTTCCAAATCCTGCCCATGCAGCTGGTGTAGTGGTCCGGTGTTATGAAATCCCTGCTCTTCTCCCCCTTCTTTCTGGAGGGTTTCTGGAACTCATCAGAGCATCTTTCTGTGCTGGTGCTGACCAATCAGAATTGCTCTGATCCATCCTGGAAGCCCTATGGAAAAGAGCAGAGATTTCAGATTCCCGAAAAACTAAACCAGCTGCATGGGCAATGATATCTCCTCACCCATGGAGGAAAGTACAAAGGGGACTGTGGGAGGGGGGCAGGGTAGGATATTAGGTATTGAGATAATTTGTACTGACTTAACAAAATACACTTGGAACTGTAACTTTCAGCAAAGGGGGCTCATGGGAAATAATCAGGCAAAGATCAAGCAGTTTTAAGTCTGAATTTGCTAATTACCAAACAATAATATTAGTAAAAAAGTAAAGTAAAAAGCCAAATGTGAAAATGTTTTTGTACTTTGAAAAACAGCCTAAAATAACTCAGCAGCTGAGAGACAGCAATCTCCCACACCTGAATAATTACCAATCTTCATGACTTTTAATTGAGTGATGTACACATTGTTTGAACTTCATTTTTGGAAAGTTAAGTTACAAAATATTCCTGTAATCCAAACACAACTACTTTCAGAGTGTATCACAAGGTTACAGGATGTTCATGTTGTTATTCTGGGGCACAATGGCTCTCAGAGGAAGAGAACTGGCATTCATCACAGCCATAGATGATGTCATACTAAAAATTAGAGAGAAAAACTGAGCTTATGAATTTCAATAAATGACATCATTTTGGGGGCCTCTCATGAGAAAAGAGCTTGGGCCATTAAAAAAGGTTTTGGAATTTTACCTATTCACTGTTCGATGGAAATTACTTGCAAATGTTTAGACAGACTACCTCTCCTTTTATTTTTTTGTCTGTATTCTTCACTAGCATGTCAGTGCCATGAAACAAAAGAGTGTGCCAAAGAGGCCTATGTGCTACCACAGCGACATCTTGTGACAAATATAGGATATTACAGCACAGAAAATGATATTTTATGACTGTATACCATTGTTGGTACTTCCTATATTTATGTGTCTATTTTTTTTTTCTTTTTTTCAGTTCTTTGCACAGTGCACATAAGGCTATTTTTCTCTGTCCTAGTCATTGAAGCTTACAGTTCTGCTTGTCAAAGCAATAGCACACACATATTTACAACCTGGAGAAATTCATTCAGACACTAACCTGTATTTGAGCATCACAAACTGAAACCTCTAATTAATTTTTAATATTAATAAAGTATATGTAAAGCCTCACCTTGTAAAACAACCCATTCAGTTTAACCACTTCATGTCCGGACACTTTTACCCCCTTCCTGCCCAGGCCAATTTTCAGCTTTCAGTGCTATCACACTTTGAATGACAATTGCGCGGTCATGGAACACTGTACCCATATGCGTTTTTTAGCATTTTTTTGAGACAGATAACACTTTATTTTGGTGGTATTTATTCACCACGGGATTTTTATTTTTTTTGCAATATAAATGAAAAAGTCCAAAAAATTTGAAAAACAGTGTTTCTTAGAAAATTTTGCAAATAAATAATTTCTTTCTTCATAAATCTTGGCCAAAATGTATTCAGTTATCTTTTTAGTAAAAAAAAAATAACCCAAATTAGTTTATAACCAAAAATTATAATTTTAAAAAAATAGTTTTTTAATTATTTTTTTTTTTTACATTATTAGTTATGTTTTTGTTTTGTTTTTTTTACACTGATTGCTTTTACACCCATAAAGGCTGTAAAAGCAATCATTTCTCCTTCTCTCTGGCTGCATTCTTGCAGCCATTGAGAAATACTGTGAGAGCTGTGATTGGTCACAGCTTGTCACATGATACAAGGCTGTTGTGAATAGCCTTGTACCATGTGACCTCTGTGATCATTCACAAATTTCACACGTAGTAAGCAATGATGTCAGAAGTGACATCTTGCTTAAACCTATTCATGTGATCACTGATTGGCCAATCAGTGATCACATGATCAGGACCTCACAGAGCGCGCTCAGTCCAAAATGGCGGGCGCCGTTTATGAACAGTAACCCGCCCCTGCACTGCCACCGTCTGGCCGTTTATATACAACGGTCGGACGGGAAGTGGCAAAAATATAAAAAAGGCACACAATTTGGGTACAGATGTTAAAAAACATTCTAAACAAAAATTTTTACCCTTTTTTTTATAAGTGATTACATACCCTCTGTTCTCAGCTGCATAAGAGCTAAGAGAGGGGAAACAGCAGCACAGTGATCTTCCCAGTGAATGTCTGTGCAAGAGGGGAAGGAGGGAGGGGGGTGTCAGGAAAGTCTAATCATTGGTGGAGAGCAGGCTAAGCTCCCAGCGTAGCTAGAGAACTGACCATTGTGTTTTTTCCTGCTTAGTTTGGTCTATTTTTTTAAATAGGAAAGCAGAGGGACTGGCAGGAACACCAGGGATATCACACAAAGGAAGCAATACAAAGAGAACAGGATACTTTTTCATACAAGTACATGGTACAGCAGGCTCATATCAGGAATATGAAATGTTGAGTTTACATACTCTTTAAAGCAAACTCACTCACATCATCCATGTTTCCTTGCTTTTTTGTTGAGAAATCACTTTAAAAACATTCCCCTAGCATTTCTAGCTGTGGCCATCTAGAGTAAGAGCAGATGATTTATGTAGAATTTACTTCCTGGAATCTATTTGCCCTTACCACAGGCATGCAGGCAGGAGGGTGGACCTAACTGAGAAAGTCCCTCCTCCAGATGAAAGAAAACAAATACCAATGAAGACATTTGGGATGTATGATATAATTTTGGCCTAGGCCACAAAACCAAGACAAAAATTGAATAAAAAAAAAAAAAAGTTTAAAACAAGCAATTATGATACACCTTCCTATCTTTTTACTAAGGCAAGCAGCATGAGGATTAAAAATAGTCAATGTAGATTGAGAGTTCAGTTCTGCCTCCATGTGTGCCCATTTAGTGCAAAGCCAGCAAACGTTTTTTAACAGATGTCAATTCATATGTATGTATTCTGGTGCCAACTGATGTACAAAATTGTAAAGTAACCAATGGCATGTTACAAAGAAGCTGCATATATTTATGAACAGAGGCCACAGGTAAAGTCTCAAGCCTCACAGAGGCCACCTCTTCTAACAGGTGCCTGAGGACAGAAGTGTAACATCTTTAGGATTCTTACCATGTAAACACATCATTGCAACCCATACAGAGTGGACATTCTAAAGCAACATTTTTAAGTGTCGGTTCACATGCAGTATATATGCAGATTGGATGCAGTTTGAACCATATCCAATCCCCATGACAAGTGAAAAAACATTATATAGACAAATATCGTGCTGAGCTCCTCTATTATTATCATCAAAGACACATTGATTACGTGTAAAAAATAAACTAAAATAAAATCGAATATAAAGTGTGAAAAAAACAAAACAAAATGTGAAAAAAACAAATGTCCACTGTGCTTATACAATCCCTTTATAATATGGAAATAAATGTAACATTGTATATCCAGAGACTGATACATAAGAGTCCTCTTTCTTTTTGAGAAATCTGTGCTAATTAGATGAATACACTCCAGGTTCCAAAAACTTTTGCAGCATAAATACAGCTCTATCATGCGCTCACCTCCGTCTCCAGCCTCAACAGGCTAAATCACGCAGTTTATCCTATAAAAGGATGAAGTATGCTTGGCTGCTTATCACCTTCAAACAATCTCTCCAAACCGCAGTTTTCCTGGTTAACCTGGTGTCACTCCTCTCCTCATTATCTGTGAAAAAACATTGCTCCTATGGAGCCTGTTCACATTTGTTCAGCGCACTGGTGGTAAAGATTCAGTGCGGATTCAGTGCAGTTTGAAAAAGAATCATGCACGATTTCTGAGCAGTGCCTTCAGGTTCAGGTGTGGATTACAGGCTATTGACTTCTATGGGAACCGTTTCTAAACCACGTGTTTGTGAACAGGATAAGATCCTGAGCTAATCCTGTCCTGAAGCTGATCTAAACCTGACATGAACCGCTGAACAACTACTCTATCAATTAGCTGTGAAACCTGAGCTTCAATGCACACTGCACATGTGTGAATCAGCTGTGACCTTTTTACATGGAGGTACCCTTGAATATGGTTTTTGGCTGCATGGAACCCCTACTTATATTTTATTTAGAGCTTACTACTAATTATTATATTTTGAACTCACAGTACATTAGTGTGAGGTTTAGTGCTCCTTACATTTGTGGTCAATAGGAAATTTTTCACACTTACAGATAGTGAAAAAGATTGCTGATGTCAGTAGTTACTCATCTGAGAGGAAGAAATCGCTTATTGCCTGGCATTTGGTTGAGAAACCCTGGTCTAAAGGATCCAGTGAATAAAAGGTACTGTATTATTCCTACATAATTGCATCAATGGCTATTTTTTTTGAGCTTGTAATCTGTAGTAACGTATTTTTATCCTTCATACTTCTTCATGCACTTTCAAAAATTAAATCAAATTATGGACTGTAAAGGTGCACTCTAGTCAAACTGGGAAATGCATAGGGAGTACACAGCCTACCTGCTCAAAAATATAGGTTTATGCTGACTGAGGACCTCAAGTTTACCCAGCGTACAGCCTACAGACGTGCCAGTAGTCTTTTTTTATTTTTGTAACAGCTATTCCAAAGCTACAGTTGTGCAAAGAACGTTATCTGCAGCCTTACTATACAAACCCTGAAAGAAATTATTTATACCTTTTATTCCAGTCTGCAGCAACCATTACATAATTATAGAGGGAAACACATCTACACATCTGACTAATACAGTCTGCACAGCACAGAAAGGAATAACATTTGTTTGCAATTCACTTTTTAAACTCTCTTTGTAATGCACAAATGCATACATTATGCTATTCTGCAGGGTGGATAAAAATCAATGATTTTTTTTTAAAAAAAATCAAAAAAAAAATCAGATTTTTTTTATTTAAATCGGATTTTTTAAATAAAATGCTTTTTGAGGAAAATATATTACCATCCAAAGGTTATTCCATCATGAAATAAAGATTAGTTTTTTTAATTATGTAGAATAAGGCTGTATATGTTTAATTTTTTGGGTAAATAAATTCCATGAATCCATTCACCATGTCATGCTCTTCCAGAGGTTTTTGTAAGATTATTGGGCAGTTTCTCTGCCTACAAGATATTATCACAGATGCTTGGTTTACTTTTGCAGTTCTCAAAACTGAATTTGACTCAGCGGAGATCACATGCCTCTTCTTCACAGCAAAAATGTTATAACATGAACAGAGTTAAGAAAAAGACCTTCATCCTAACTTCTACAAACCTATGAATACAGAATCAACCCCTTCACTGCTAAGTTTCAAGAAGTTCATTGAATAGAAACAATATTTTTCTGATTGTTTGGAGTGGAATAGATCTGCACAAGAAGAAAGTGAAACTAAGTGTGAGGAGGAGGGGCTGACAGTCTAAGGTTCTTAAAATATATAGATTTTGTTTAGCCAAATTAGTTACCAAACATGGATGTTTAAGCAAATCACATATGCTGGAATGTTATTGTTTCAGTTGAATAAATCTATTTAAATTGTTATTAAGGTAATGATTATTTTTTCTCCTTCCTAAGTACAACAGAAAAGTTGTCCAAATATGAATGATTAACCTATTAAACTGGGGATAAAAAAACTAATATGAAAAGTTGTTATTCTAAAAATCTTCATTTACTTGCATATTAAAGTTATACCAGCAAGAATTAGTCTTTATGTAGAAAACTGGGATTTAAATCAAGCCTTACTGACTAGTGATTTAAATCGTGATTTAAATCAGTTTGATTTAAATCAAATCCACCCTGCTATTCTGCAAGGTAAATCCTTACCAATCCCTATATTTTAGTAAACAGCAAAATCTGCCCAGTTTTCAGCATATGTAGATTTTATACCTGCCTCAATTGATGGGTAACAAGATCTGTAAAAGCACATTTTATATCGCAAAAGAATATCGAAAATGAATGTAATTTAGAAAAGATACTGTTTTCTTCCCGGTTATCATTAGCAAATCACTGATATTGCTTGCTCCTTAGAGCTGATCTATAAATTAAACTCCATCCTATCAAAACCTAGCCACAGAGTAGCTCTCCAGCCCATGCCTTAGTCATGTAAGAGCATTTGCTAAAACATACAAATAAACAGTCAAAAAGTGTACTCTGTCCTTCGTAAACAACACACCTGACTACTTGTGTCACTGATCTCATGTAAACATTGCAAAGGAACAATGCTCAAAATATCCCTTCATCACAGGTCAGGAGTGATCATGTTGCTGCGATTTGCTGTGTGCACACAAAACAGATGTTCCCTTGAATGCATGGAGTGAGACTTCTCATTAATGTTGCCCGTTTTCCATAGTCTAATATATTATCAGTCTTTCTGACCTAAACACACTTATTTGCTTAATATCAATTGGAACAAATCCAATGTCAAATGAGCCAGCTATGCACCTGTTTCATGGGTCATTATCCTCAACAGAATCATAAAGTATCATCTAGGTGGCAGTAAACAAGATGATAAATGATCAGAAGACAGGATTTTAACATGATGTGGAAAGACCATGCACAGTTCAACTGAAAGGTCACCAAATGGTCTTCTAGTTATCAAAGTAACCACACACATTAGTTGCCAGATATAAAGGAGGTCATTAGGATAGGAGCCCACAGCTGATATGTATTTTTTTTAGCAATTTTGCAACATTCAGTAGTGATTAATGGCTAATAGCCACCTGCTGTTGTTCATCGCAGCATGTGAGGATGGAGCAGGGGCGGGGCTGAGCCGCGCTGTGTGTGTCAGTGGACACACAGAGCCCAGCTGGGGTTCAAGCCCACAGGAGTGCCCCCCATAGCAAGTGGTATTTTAT